ACTTTGCATTTCTCTTTATTAAACCTCATCCTGTTTACCTCTGACCATTTCTCTAACTTGCTAAGGTCATTTTGAATTATGTCCCTATCCTCCAAAGAAGTTGCAACCCCACCCAGTTTGGTATCATCTGCAAACTTAATAAGCGTACTCTCTATCCCAATATCTACATCATTGATGAAGATGTTGAACAGTATGGGTCCCAAAACAGACCCTTGAGGAACTCCACTTGTTATCCCTTTCCAGCAGGATTTAGAACCGTTAACAACAACTCTCTGACTACGGTTATCCAGCCAATTATGCACCCACCTTATCGTGGCCCTATCTAAGTTATATTTGCCTAGTTTATCAATAAGAATATCATGCGAGACCGTATCAAATGCCTTACTAAAGTCTAGGTATATGACATCCACCGCTTCTCCCTTATCCACAAGGCTCGTTATCTTATCAAAGAAAGCTATCAGATTAGTTTGGCATGACTTGTTCTTCACAAACCCATGCTGGCTATTCCCTATCACTTTATTACCTTCCAAGTGTTTGCATATGATTTCCTTAATTACCTGCTCCATTATCTTCCCTGGGACAGACGTTAAACTGACCGGTCTGTAGTTTCCTGGGTTGTTCTTATTCCCCTTTTTATAGATGGGCACAATATTTGCCCTTTTCCAGTCTTCTGGAATCTCCCCTGTCTGCCATGATTTTTCAAAGATCATAGCTAAAGGCTCAGATACCTCCTCTATCAGCTCCTTGAGTATCCTGGGATGCATTTCATCAGGACCTGGTGACTTGCTGACATCTAACTTTCCTAAGTGATTTTTAACTTGTTCTTTGTGTATCCTATCTTCTAAACTTACCCTCTCTCTGCTTGTATTCACTACGTTAGGCACACCTCCAGACTTCTCGGTGAAGACCGAAACAAAGAAGTCATTGAGCATCTCCGCCATTTCCAAGTTCCCTGTTACTGCTTCTCCCTCCTCGCTAAGCAGTGGGCCTACCCTGTCCTTGGTCTTCCTCTTGCTTTTAATGTATTTATAAAAGGTCTTCTTGTTTCCCTTTATGCCTGTAGCTAGTTTGATCTCATTTTGTGCCTTTGCCTTTCTAATCTTGCCCCTGCATTCCCGTGTTGCTTGCCTATATTCATCCTTTGTTAGTTGTCCTAGTTTCCATTTTTTATATGACTCCTTTTTTATTTTGAGATCATGCAAGATCTCCTTGTTAAGCCAAGCTGGTCTTTTGCCATATTTTCTATCTTTCCTACACAGCGGAATTGTTTGCTTTTGGGCCCTTAACAACGTCCCTTTGAAATACTTCCAACTCTCCTCAGTTGTTTTTCCCTTCAGTCTTGCTTCCCATGGGACCTTACCTACAAGTTCTCTGAGCTTATCAAAATCTGCCTTCCTGAAATCCATAACCTCAATTGTGGTGGTCTCCCTTCTACCTTTCCTTAAGATCATGAACTCTATTATTTCGTGGTCACTGTCCCCTATACTGTCTTCCACTTTCAAGTTCTCAACTAGTTCCTCCCTATTTGTTAAAACCAAATCCAGAACAGCTTCTCCTCTGGTAGCTTTTTCAACCTTCTGAAACAGAAAGTTGTCTCCAATGCAGTCCAGAAACTTATTGGATAGCCTGTGCCTCGCTGTGTTAGTTTCCCAACATATGTCTGGATAGTTGAAGTCCCCCATGTAGCTAAGGAGAATAAACTCCCCCAGGATATGGAGTATCAGTGTTGCCTGTGTACTGTTTTCATTTTGTGAAATATTGTACCTGTTGTCACTGATTGCAGGGGTTTGTGCAATTGAATTTGCCTATTTGTTCTGATCTCATGTAGTCTGACTGACCTGGACCCTAACACCTCTCTAGTCTGTTTCATGTCACTCCCAAACATCCCCTTGCACAAGAATCCACAATGGAGTTATGCATGAAATGTGCCCGGAGATGTGTAGAACCTTCTTGTGTGGTCTGCCACCAGTGTTCCCTGTAAGCTGAGCACTTGGGGAGCTGCCCGGAAAAGATTCAGTGCCACCCTGTGGATTAGCAGAATGCCTACAGTACTCATAGCCATCAGCATGTGTTTCTGTTGGTGGTGCACATCCATACATGTCTTGGTGTACATAACAAAATGTATTCTGCCAGTGGATGTAAAAAATTAGAGGGTACATTTTCTGTCACCCTCTTCTTCCTTACACTGCACTGATCACTGCGCTGCTGCTTTAAAGCCCTTGCTTATCCATGCAGGACTGGGTAAAATTAGGCCCTTGCAATGAATAAGAAAAGGGATCTGTGTCTGGTGCAGTACAGGTCAAACCTCTCTAGTCCAGCACCCTTGGAACCTGACTGGTTCAGAGAATTTTCCAGACCATGGGAGGTCACTATTGTCTAACAGCATTACCAACACTTCTGCTGCTTATTGGGCTGTTAGAGGACGTATAGGGGTAAATTAGAGCTAAATAACAGCACAGAACACTGAGAGTCAGGACTGGTGGCTGTAAACAAACTTTATGGAACTGCGGGAAACTTGGCCACACCCATGAAAAGTGGACATTTTGCTAACTAAAATCATTCCAGGTGACAGGTGTTTCCAGACTAGAGAGGTTCATCCTGCATTAGTGCTGCCCTTGTGGAAATTGCTGTGTTGTTTCTGTATGCATTTGTTCTAAGCTGCTGTCGCCCAGGATGAGTGGAGGTTTCTTTACAGCAGCTGAGTTTGGTTTAAGCCAGGAGTGCTAGAACTGCAAAACTGCTTAGAAAAAATGGTTTATTTTGGTGTCTGCAGAATGGCCTTTCTCCCAATACAGCAGCAAACGACATCAGGGAAGAACACAGAAAATAAACAAACATTATAAACCCAAGCTGTTAATTTTTAGAATCAGCCCTTTTGCTTCTGTCATGGTGCAGGAGGCTTCTCTTTGTTTTGGCATGAAGAAAGACTTGGTTTCTGTTTTTATGTTGCAAACAGCTATTTGTGAATTAAAATTCTAAATTTGCACTAATAACGTATCATAAAAACAGAAAATAAACATAAATAGACTTTATAAACAATACGCGGCATTCTGTGCTGGTAACTCGGGGTCTGATCCAAATCCCCTGGACGTCAGTGAGTCTTTCCATTCACTTGGGTGGCAATTCCTGTCCCTAGTCAGAATAGAGGGAGATCCTCTATTCGGCCCCATTGTGTTTGGTACAGGAATTGAAGGTTGAATGTCAGCAGTGGCTTTCAGAAACCTTTAGATTACCCAGAGCTGAAAGTGCCATCCTAGCAACAGGGGATCTTTTGAATGCAGTGATGTCCTCCACACATCTCTGCCCTGCCAGACCCCCTGACTATGTGCTGGAAGGAGAAGGCATAGGAGCAGCTATGATGGTACTATGCCACTGGAAGAATCAGTCATATAAGGGGAGTCCTCTTTTTTTCTGATTTTGCTGGGAACAAGGCTATTGTGTTCTGCAGACTAAATAAGATGTGTTGTGACTATGAATTTGGCTCATAATGCTCATTCTTAGTTGCGTGACTAGAGTCAAATAAGGTGTGTGTATTTGGGATTTATGATGCTTTAAGAAGCAGTTGCAAAATACTCAATTTCACTGAGAGGAATGCAAGTTATTTCTGTGACCTGTTTAGAAAGAAGAGTCAAACAGCATCTTTCTTTCTTTCTTTCTTTCTTTCTTTCTTTCTTTCTTTCTTTCTTTCTTTCTTTCTTTCTTTCTTTCTTTCTTTCTTTCTTTCTTTCTTCTGTCACACACACACAAACACACGGAATGTTTGAGTGTAAACGACTAAGCACTTAACTTATAAAGCAGATGCTTATTGGTTAATGGTGTTGGTTACACTCAGCAAAGCCTCCTCCGCAGGAACCAAGTGGGCAAGGACTGCTAATGGGCAGTAAGTAGATGGCTTCCTAAAATATGCTGTACTATAGGATTTACCCAGCATTGCTTAGGTCCTTAATTCAAATGATTTTAGTTTTTCTTCATTTAAATCATTGCTCTGGGGTGGGGTTGGGGACAAGGGGTTCAGTATGTAGGCAGCTCCAGGGAGAAAGGATAACCCCAGCCTTCTCTCACCACAGCAGCTTGGGGAAGGGTGGGAAGTGCCTGTCCATAGCTGTTGCAGCTGCAGTGGGCACAGCTAGGGGAGGAGTACATGTCCCCTGGTTTGGGGACAGATAGATACACAGACACACAAACTTTCTAAAATATTTAGTAGATAGCTGTCCCTTTCTCCATCCCTACTCCCTGCTGCCCCACAGGATTATAGTTGTCCCAGTCCCCATCTCTGGCCCCTTGCTGCCTCCCTGTGGTCATTCTGCAATATAACTGTCCCTGCTATCACAACTCTCCCTTTCCATTTTATGAAAAACAAATGCATTTCAGGCACATCCCATTGTCCGAGCCCTTACCTTCCTTTAAGTTATGATAAGAGGAAACTGCATATCAAATTTGATGGTTTTAGCTCTTACTTCAGAGTGTCACATCTGAAGAAGTGGGCTGTGTCCACGAAAGCTCAGGATACCATCTACATGTTTAGTCTTTAAAGTGCTACCAGACTATTTGTTGTTTTTTAAAGTTTATCCTGTATAGATTAATTTGGCTACCCCCTGAAGCTTCTGTTTAGGAAGAGTTCATGAACAAACACACACACAGAGAAACAGACAAACTCTCTCATTTATATTGTGGATTATGGTAGGCATTATGTATTGTGGCAAAATGAGTTAATATGTACTAAAAAAATGCCCCTTGCTTGATAGCCAAATGTTTTTTCCTTTTCTCTAAGCCTAGATTGTTTCCATTTGCAGCCTAGTTTGTAAATCAGATGCTTTCCCCGTTTTGAAAATCTTAGTATGGTACTGAGACGAGACTAATTCCCTAAAGCAGGGTGTGCAAATTTCTGCCTGCCATGTGAAATAATGGTTTATTCTGAAATGTCTATTATCCTGCTGTTTCACTGACAACAAAACCTAGTGATGTGTAAAATGTATTTGAGCAGATTATAATACAGATGTTAGCAGTGAATAATGAAACAATAAAAGGAAAGGTTCTCTAAGATCAAGGCATTTCCTATAGAATGGCCAGCTTTTGAAAGGCTGGCAAGAAAGGCAAAAGGACTGAAGTGACAGAATTAATCATCACTTCCAAACTGCTGCCAAAGCCAGTTTTCTCTATCACGAGAGAAGGAAGCAAAACCTGTTGGAGAAACGATATGTCTTAATAAATCAGCATTAGCTTTTGCGAGAGGAAACCAGCTAAGGTAGGAAAGATTAAACAGCACTTGCAAAAAGGATTATGTATGGAGGTTCAGTGCATTTTTCAGTTTGGTTTGGATCCTTTGGTTTTGGTGCCTTTGGGATTGCTTGGGGCTGCTGGTTTACAAAGTCATGTTAATCTTCAGTGCATGCCTCCTGAATTTGGCTGGTTAAGTGTCCATTGATACTCAGTTGCCTTCATTTGAGTATCGTGATCACAAGTCACAGTGATTTGTTACTTTTAAATAGGCGTCATCCAAACATAAACACATAAATAGCAATGAAAATGCTTTTAATCATGGCTTTAGCCTATTCAGTGCTTTAGCTAATTCTTCTATTTTGGATTTGTTCATCCCAGGTTTCTTATTCTTCCACGCAGTTTTAGAAGTCTCATCTTTCAAGAATCCATCACTTTCAATATGCATTATTTTTTTTTGTACTGTGACATAAAAAAAATCATAACTGTCAGAAAAACTGCTTAACGTTAAAATGAGCTATTGCGTGTTACTTTACTCATCAATTACATGTTTTATTTAGCATGCAGTTCAGCTGATAACATGTACATCAGGATCTTAATCATGTACATGTTTTAACCAATGTGCTAGATGCTACTGAATATTTTGAATAATACAAAACTATATTTGAAATTTAAGAAAAATAGCATTGCCATGAGAAAGGTCATTGTAATGCTTTGCGCTTGCTTGCTTGTCTTCCTCTTAATAGTTTCCCTTTTTTCCTTCTGCATGTGTTAGAGGTCACTGATAAGAGCCCTGTTTACTCTTTTGTGTGTGCATGATTGGAACATGGTCAGTATTGTGAGTTGGAGGGACTGATGGATAACTTTTGTTTCTCATCATGCTAAAGTGACATATAATGACAAATTAAGACAGTTTGGCTACAAAATGAATCATGCCTGGTTTCAGCAGCCACCTTGTCACTTTGAACTTTAACTATAAACTGCTTACAATTTGCCAGTTAGGCTGCCTTTCTTAGCTCCATGTTGGTGCAGTGATGCATTAATATTATCAGAGCATGTAGTGCTTCTTTCCACCTGATGAAAGTCTCAGCTAGACGAAATAATTAATTGTGTGTTTTTTTTTAATTCCTCACTCTTCTGCTTTACAAAATTCCCTTCGTTTCTCTTTGGCATCTGACTGACTGCCCCTAAAGTGAGCAAGGCTGCTTCACTGCAGTACTGGCAACGTATCTGTGGATCCAGCCAACACTAGAACATCCTCTCTCTAACTCTCTTCGGTAACCATGGCAGTGGTGTAGCATTAAGCTTTGTCTAGCACCTTTAACTGCACTTAGTGGCACTTGGTTTTGTTGATAAAATATCTCCAGTGTGTTCTGACCCGCTGAAGGATGTACTGTGTATCTACTGCAAGAAGGAAAACAGAATCTGTTGGGGTAAAATACTGTATGTCACTTTTTGATTTACCTCCTTCCATCCTTCAGTGTGTTTTGGGGGGGGAGGGAGGGTTAAATTGGTTTTCAACTAAAATAAGAACTTTGAACTTATGCTTTGACCTAGCAGTGCATTAATGCAACTTAAATTGGTTGGCAATATTATTATAAAAAAGCAATATTGGTATTTCAGTAGTGCCACAGAGTTACCCCTGTACAGGTATGTGAGAGAAAATCCCTATCCTGAAAATCTTTTAGCCCAGATCAACAAGACAAATAAAGGGTGTGAAGGATAACAGAGGCACAGAAACATGTATGGATAAATGACTTTGGACTAGGGGATATGAAGGTTTAATCAGTTAACCGGTAAGCTTTACCCTTAACAGGTGGGTTTTACTGGTTAAGGTTAACCAGTGGGGCTGGAGCAGCTCCCCATCTGCCACAGGCAAGGGACTGCTCCATCCCCATGGGGAGGCTACCCCGTGGGCCAAAGCCTCTGTTTCATTGACTCCAGTGGAGTGGACGTTATTTGTACTAGGAGAGAATCATGCCTAAGGAACTGAAGGGTGGATATGGAAGAGATGAAAGAGGTTATTTAGCAAATGGGAAGCAGAAGTCTATTCTAGGCATAGTCGGTGTCGTAAGAAAGGTGCAAAGCCAAGAAAAAGTCAAAAAGTGTAGGTTATCTATTATGAAATACCAGCAGATTTACCCAGTGTTGCTTGGGCGTGTAACTCAAAAAATGGTTTGTTGGATTTTGTTGATAACTAAATGGAGGAGTGGCATAGAGGGGGGAAGGATGGCACAGCCTGGTCCCATGAGGAGCAGCGTGGTGGGAGAGAAGGAACCCCAAGGCTTGAGAGGAGTTGGGAGGAGGGAGAAAGGAAGGCATCCTTAGGCACTGTGAGGAGCCCTCAGGGGAGAAGGATAAAATCCCCTGGCTCCAGATGAATTGGCGTGGGGGTGGCGGAGAGAAGGAGGGATTCTCCAGGCCCCATGGGATTGGGGAGAGGGGGAGGGAGTGAAGAAAATCCTCACTCCAGGTGAAGTGAGTGTGAGGGTATGTCTACACTACAAAGTTAGTTCGAACTAACGGACGTTAGTTCGAACTAACTTTCCTAGGTGCTACACTAACGCTCCGTTAGTTCGAACTTAATTCGAACTAACGGAGCGCTTAGTTCGAACTAGGTAAACCTCATTTTACGAGGATTAAGCCTAGTTCGAACTAGCTAGTTCGAACTAAGGGCTGTGTAGCCCTTTAGTTCGAACTAGTGGGAGGCTAGCCCTTCCCAGGTTCCCCCTGGTGGCCTCTCTGGGCACAACCAGGAAAACTCTTCTCCTCTCCCCCAGCCCCGGGCCCTTAAAGGGGTAGACTCTGGCCAGACGGCACTAGAGTCAGCCAGCCCTACTAGCAGTCTCTGCCCCTGAGCCAGTGGTTGCATGATGAGCCAGGCAGCCAGTGCCAGCGAGACGTCCCCTGCTCAGTCCCCAAGCACCCAGGGGCCAGCCAGGGGCTGTAGACGGCGCGCGGCCTCCTGGTCTAGTGCGGAGGTCATGGACCTCATTGAGGTTTGGGGGCAGGCCCCCAA